CTGATTAGAGTCCACTCATAATGAACTGGTTCATTCTCAAGGAGGAATTGTATTATTTTCTTGACAGAAAATCTACTTTTTAACTTGGAGAGCTTAAACACACAATGAGATACAGACACAGTTTTCTCTGTGCTTCTTTATTGCATAGTTGCACACTACTTTAACAGTTTAAAATACAGCAGCTACAAGTTTCTTTACATCAGGTAAAGACTGAGGGAAAAGCTCTGTAACCCAAGAAAACTAAAGGCATTCCCTGTTACATATGTTGCCTGCAAAGACAATTATTTCAGTAAATTATGATTAGGGAGATAACATACATTAAAATACACAACGTGATAACTGCCAAGAAAACAAGATGCACAAAGAAAAAAGCCAAGGTGTGCCAAAAAATACAAGTTAAGACATGAAAAATTAAGGCCTTTGATTTTTAAAGCAAATGCTATTGATTATGAAGTTGAGCAGAACGGATGCTTCCTCAAAAATAAGCCTTGTAGAATTCCAGTACTTCAAAACCCAGCAGGTCTTTGAGATCAAAGCAATCTCCATTTCTATAGCTTTCAAAGCCAAAAGATACACTCCTGTCAGACTTGGGGGTCAAAACACCACCACAAGCCATCCATGACAGAAGACAACACAGGACTGGTCAGATACACATGGTGGTGTACACCTAAAGTGCACTGGTGGGAAAGTTCTGGAATGTAGGAATATAGATCAAACACCCAACTGTGAAGCCACCAAGAGCAAGACAAATGCTTAACAGGAACACTGAAAAGCAGTTGGAAATCAGACATGGATACAGATTTATGCTCAAAAACCTTCTACTCCCCTTTCAATAAGCTGCCCTTAAAATTATATATATTACAGTCTTTAATTTCTAGTACTTATTGCCACAGGGAACACTTCCCAGTACAGTATTAAGCAACTTAAGGGACTACTATGCAGGAGCAAATACAAATGTGTGCTTTGACCCTTTGGAATTGTACCATCTAAAAGAAGAGCCTAAAGATTCCCATTTTCAAACAGAGTTTAACTTAGCTGTGCAAAAATCCTTTCAGATATTAGCTCTAGTCCAACAACTGAGTAATTTCCCCCCCTTCACACAGTTGTGAGGGTAAGCCAGAATAATTATATCCCATCCCCTGTTCACATCCATGTGCAGGCACACAGAATTCTTTTTCTTGAAGCTGACTTTTGCAAGGCCAACGCAGTCATTGCAACATAAAACAACCCCCAAAAAACCTTTCTGTTCATTTCCAAACTGCTAATTTCAACAACAATCCACCCTGCAACTGAGATACTGCCTACCGTAACCAGAGATGCTAACACACCAACATGTAAATACAAGACTCAAAAAGCAGCAAAATAACTGTAACAGAAAATCCCTGTAAACCTTATTTTTGTAGCACTAAATTTCTAAATTGACCCTGTCTCCAGATATTTTAAGCAATCAGTGCTGAAATTGTGATTAATTCTATGGTAGCACACTTAGATGAGATTTTATCCAAATATATATGGGGTATGGCTTATTAAAGGTATGACACCTATTCTCTAACAACATTTCCATGACAAAACTTGAACAAAGTAAGTGAATCTCTAAGAGAATTTTCAAACAGATCACTGAAAATAGAATATCCAGCATCATCTCTGATAGATGCATGGTGGTAAATGTGTTAAAAAGAGATTTACTCACCTAGGAAGAAAATTTGCCTCTGTGAAGCAAACCTAACCCTTTTGAACTCAATTGGGTATGAGCACATTAGGGTATTATGAAGCAGCTGAAGGTTAAACATTTACACCATAATAAAACCCTAAGAACAAAATATGCATTTAGTATTTGCATATGCTAGTAAAGCTGTAGTAACTGCTGAAGTGAGCTTAGTGGCACACAAAAACATGGTGAAAATTACCAAGACAATTAAAAAAAACTTTAATCAATTGCATGAAGCTTTTAAAAAGACCCATTCATCCAGGACAGGGGTTTTGGTGGAGGCTTCCTGCAGCCAGCTTGGTGCTGCTGAGCCACCTGTAGTTTTAAAAGTGAAGGCAACATTAAGAGGTCTTTATAGTGCAATTTCTCCTAACTGCTACTAATGAGTAGCAGAAAAATCTCAATGGCAGACAAGATACATACCAGTTCTGAATGGCTGCCATCTTTCTATGGGGTCCTCCTCAGAAAAGACTTTGCAAGAGCAGCACTCAGCAAAAACCTCAAGCTTCACAACAACTAGATGACATCCATTCAGGCAGAAAGTAAAAAAATTCTTTTCCTATTGCCAGAACTGTAGATACACCTTCCAAAATCCTTTTGGAATCTGCCACTCTCTGGCAAAACCATTACTGATGTGGTCCTGCAGACCAGAAAGTAGAATTACAGAATGTGTGGGGTTGGAAGGGGCCTTTAAAGCTCATCTAGTCCAGCCCCCAAACACTGTCTAGTACAACTGAGATGGTGTAGTTCAACCAGATTGCTGTAGATTCCACAGCAACTGAGGTCAACCAAGATGGTTCAACTGAGCAGTAAGGACTGGAAGAGGCAGTGAAAACTGAAGGTACATACACTACTGGGTTGCACTCACACAGTAAAGGGACATACTCTACACTGGGATAGAAGAGAGATTTCCTTACATTTACCACAGAGTCACTTTAAGGTTAAGTGGACACATTGCAAATAGCCAAGGGAGAAAAGCAAAACAGCCTGAGGTGGAGCTATTAATGAAGCAAAGGGAGGACCTGGGCACTTAATTGGTTAAACAAGAGCATTCAAAAGCCTTGCCAGCATCAGGACCACACAAAAAAAGTGTTAAAGTGCTTTTAAACTGAACATTTGGACTTTAAAAATATTGATTCTAGCGTTCTGAATTCAGCATTGACAAGGTGGTGTCCTGGCACCACTTGTGCTGAATCACACCAGCAACCAGTGACTTTGCTTACTGGCAGAAGCAGACCAAGTAACATCTGTTCTCCAAGAAGACTCCTCAAATACAATCAATCAAGGTCACATGAATTTACAGACAGACTTGCTCTTCCTTAGAAGATCTGACCATACATTAGGTACATGAATTTCATGCACAGGCACACTGTTAAACACAGTAAAGCATAAAAAGCCAGTGAGAAAGGTGCTTGAGAGAAAATGATGGCTAGCAGTAGTATCCTTCAGAGGTAGATAATGCTTGTGGCAATTGGATTGTAACTCTAGGATAAGGCTCCACATCTGACACCTTACCAAACAGTTTTGTCTGGTCCACAAATAAATTTCCACCACCACTTCTACTCATTGTCATAAGGTGCTATAATCCATTCTGGTTCCCAGTTGTCCTGAAGCTAGAGAACTCTCTTTTTTTAGAGAAGTACATTTTGAGACAAAACTTTGAAAAGAGTGAACTGGTACCCTATCAATTCCTAAAAGAAAATAAAAATTTTTAAAAAATAAAATAAATCTTTCAACTATCTGAATGCTGCATTTTGTCTATACTCTCCTAGCACAGGTTTAGGTTTCAGAAATTGTTGTGAGGTTTATTTCCCCCAAATCCCATGGGAAGGGTCAGCTGGGGCTTATCTAATTTTGCTTTCCTTTGATGTGATCAATTTCCTGGGATCAACTGGACATTTTAATCTGATTTGCTGCACTTGCCAGTCTTGAAATACTGGTGAATTCTATCCTGCTCTCTTCTTCTGGCACATTATGAATGCAGAAAAGTAAAAGCTGCCAAAGCTAAAAGCTTCTACATTTGTTGTAATGTTTTAGAAAAGGTCTGTGGCTTCTGGTGTAAAGTGGACATTTTGTGGCATCCATATCAAACATGGATCATGCAGTCAACAGAACAGAAAGAGATGAGATTCTGGAAGTCATCTTTTCCCTTCTCATCATCCTAAGCACCAAGAAAAAAAGAAGATAAAATGTCTCTGTATATGTGACTAGAGAAGATAGTTCCCTTCCCAAACCTCTAGAACAATTCCACAAAAAGGACCTAACCAGTATTAAAACTTTTCCCTTCTTTACCCTTTCCTGCTTGATAACATGCTTTTAGTTGGGATTACTATGTCATGGAAGTCACTGAAAGCATCTGAAGAGAGACAGAAAAGAGGCAAGGGGAAGGGATCTCCTGCTCTTACTTATCTGCTTAACTATCAAAATAATTTCTTACTGATCCCTGCTTTAAAGCAAGTACATTTGTTAAGGGTTAGTATTATTTCCTTCTTAAAAAAAAACCCCAAAACTAACCCCCCCCCAGCTTTGCCAGTGAAGGACAAACGACACTTAGCAGAACTGCAACTGGCCCTCTGTGAGCTGCACAGCACACACACGCTGCAGGAAAAGGAACAGTCACCCCCAGGTATTGCAGTCTGGGCTGACAGTTCATGGCCTGATCAGCTCAGCACGGTCCTGGGGCTGTGCTTCAGGATGCAAGAGGTGCCTGCTTTGGAAGGAGGAACGGACGGTTCGGTTCATCAGGGGCTGCAGGGGGCGGAAATTGTCCACCATGCGCTTTTCTTCCTCACCATCTGAAGTGAAGAGCAGCATCCGAAACGCCTCCAGCTGGGAATGAGAAATGTCCAATGCTGTGACTTCACTAACTGGAGAATTAGGGGACTTCACAACAAAACACCCTTATGAGGAAAGGCTGAGGGAGCTGGGTCTCTTTAGCTTGGAGAAAAGGAGACTGAGGGGTGACCTCATCAATGTTTACAAATATGTAAGGGGTGAGTGTCAGGGGGACGGAGTTAGGCTTTTCTCAGTGATGACCAGTGATAGGACAAGGGGTAATGGGTGTAAATTGGAGCATAGGAGGTTCAAGGTGAATATCTGAAAAAAATTTTTTTACTGTAAGAGTGACAGAGCCCTGGGACAGGCTGCCCTGGGAGGTTGTGGAGTCTCCTTCACTGGAGACATTCAAAACCCACCTGGATGAGTTCCTGTGTGATGTACTCTAGGTGACCCTGCTCTGGCAGGGGGGTTGGACTAGATGATCTTCAGCCCCTAAGATTCTATGATTCTATGAAAACACAATCCAAGGTAGTATGACATTTGCATGCTGAGGAATCACAGAGTGAACTCCTGGTCACTTCTTTGTCACCTGCTCGTCAAGATGCCTCCATCACCCACACCAAAGCAGATGAACTGTCACTCCTCAGCCATCTTTAGACAAACTGAATCTCAAATGTGGTCTGAGATGGAACCAATTCCAGTTGAAACACTGGAACATATGCTACCTTTAAGCAAGTCTCTCAGGCCTTCTTAATTTACAGCCTTCCTGGAGTTCTGTTACCTCACTGGGTAACAGAGCTGGAACCCAGGGAAGAGGGAACCCCCACAAGCAACAATCTACATGGTGGTTGTTCTCAGTGGTTTATAACTAGGGATTAGTAAAGTATGCAGCAGGTCAGCTTTTAATGCTCACAAGGGCATTACAATGTTAAGTAAACTGAGACTTTCTATGCCATAAAAGAATGAGAGTGATAAAGAGAAAAGGGGGAAATAAAAAAAGAGAAAAAGTTCAATTTGAAAAGGAGAATGTCACACCTGCAGGTCTCTCTGCTCTGGTAACAATTTTTAGTTCTTCCTGTCCTGTTCCTTTATGTAAATGCAAACATTGAGACATGTCTGTTCTTTAGTGTTTGTTTGGAGTTTGACCTTCTAGATGGACTAGATCCATGGAACAGTCTTAATAAAAAAATAATAAGCATTTTGGCCTCATGTTGTTGGACTCAAACTTCATTATTAATCAAAGCCTCAAAAACCAGGGACAGTGCAGAGGTAACTTTCAGTGCCTCTTATACCATGAAAAAATGGTAGATTTGGGGGTTGTTGATTTTTACTTGGTTTGCAACAACCTCCCAAACTTGTTCTATGCTGTACTGCCCCTCAAAGTTCCCCACTTCTCTGAAGAGGCAAAAAAAACACCTGAAAGCTTCCAAAACCCCACAATTACAGTACAATTGCAATGAGGCCTCCTTCAGACCATTCTACTTGTCCCTACATCTACCAAGAAATAACATCACATTGAATCATGAAGTACTAAAATTAAAAGCAGTGGAGGGCAAATGGTGACAAGCTTGGGTTGGTGTCAGAACAGACTATTGACCATTAACTCCTCCACTTAAAATAACTTCTGTAATACAAACATTTGCTGAAATCTTTGGGTGTTCTTTTTTAAGGGGAATAAAAAAAGGAATTCAAGGACAGCACAGCCAAATATAAACGTGCCTACAAAGGCAAAGGAGAAAACCCAGTGGAGACTTCCTCTGTCTCTGGGCCATCAGAATGGCATGTGAAGGACTCGAAGCCACCACCATCCATCCCTTCTGTACCTTCTGACTCTAACCAAGGGAAGAGCAGAGAATTTAGCCCTTGCAGTCTCTGCAAGGCCTCTGTGCACGTGGCTACCAACAATATGCACAAAAAAATCACAGTTTGCAATTTCACAAAACTTGCCCTTTCTCCTCCCTCTCTGCCACAAGAAAAGCTGCATCTCCATTGTGGTAAGGACAGCAAAATCATGCAGTGTTCTGACAAATAACCTTAGAAGCTTTCAAGAGGCAGCTTCCAGCCTAAGACATTGTTTATTTGTCACAGAGCAAGATAAAACTCCACTGGAGAGCTGGAGAAGCATTTTTAACTGCTTACTGACCAAGTCTTCAGTCTTTCAGAATCAGCTGTTCCTGTCAGGATACCTCCCCAAACAAACACTGAGTGTGAAGCAGCTGTGTATTCACAGAGAATTACTGGTAAGCAGCTCCTTCAGTGCATCTTCCCAGTCTGATTTGAAAAGTAAGCATGAGATTTACCTGATTCTCATCGACCTCTATTGGCTGCTTCTTAATAATCCACGTGACTGACTCGGTCAGGGGGGGAGTTGTCAAAGAGCCTGCGTAGGTCCAGTAATCAGGGCATGAAGGTATCAAACAGGAAGGATCAAAGACATCAAACTCCACAACAGTGTCCTGAACCCCAGAGAAAAACACATTTTTTACAATTGTATTTTGAGGGAAAAAAAGTCAGAGTATTTAAAAAGATCACAAATGCTGCAGGTGTCACCTGCCCATGTGCAGAGTTAGGGAGTGTGAATATTAGTGAATATCCACATCAAATAATAATGTAAACTCCATCAACTTGTGCAGAATTGGTAAGCTGGGTTAGAGGCACGAGGGGCAGTGTGAATAGACAACATTTAAATCTCCCTTTTGTGCCCACAAGCCATTAGGAATTCAGTGCAGAAGAAACAAGGAGAGCAAAGGAGCAATTGACTGTGTCTTTGTGGGAGCCAGAGGCAAACAGGAAAAAGAAAGAATAAATGGTGGGACAAGTTCAGGTAGATAGATATACTTCATAGAGTGCAAACAATAGTGCTTTTACTTGTCACCATGTGAGCTTAGACAGTGGGGAAAGGACTAAAACTTTACTCAAAAGTGTTCTGAATACAGTTCAAAGTAAAATATTCATGTCTCCAGAATGTGCACTCCCCCAAGGGAGATATCAGAGAGCATGTTGGAGCCTCAGAGACCATGAGTTCTTACACAGACATTTTGCAGGTTATATTGGAGGAAAGGAATATCCCTATTTTTCTTTAGATAGGCTTTATCAGTTCCCCACTGAGAAGAGCAAATATTACAGCAAAGACCTTTACACAAATGGGGAGTTGGACAAGAGATTCTAGATGGGATCTTTCACCCACCACGTGAGAGAGGAAGGTGCAAGGAAACCAGGATGGGTTTTATCTGACCTGCCTTCTGCTTCTAACCAGCATGATGCTTCTCAGGGGCTGGTGATTAAGTCAGTGATAACCCTGGCAAGGCAACAAAGGTTTTCAAACGTTTTCAACCAAGTGACTGACACCCTTTGGTGTCAGAGCAGCCCACATGCAGCTTGATGAGCCTAATGTTTGATACTACTTTTTAAAATTGCAATTTTTTTAAAGATCTTGACTTTCATCTCTTTCAAATTCACATGCTGTAAAATATTACACTCTCATAATGCATATTCATAGATTTTTGTAGGTCTTTTTGGCACTGAACTGACTTGTTTGGCATTTATCTGACAGTTTTCACTGCAAAGCCATAAATATTTGTTTTATTTGGGTTTAAAAAAATAATCCTTGCTGCGATAAATAATGGCACAGCGATTTCAACTGGACGTGCTTACAAGCCAGCAAAATTCTGGCTATTTTCTGGCTATTTTCAACAAGGGAACAGACACCTGGAGGAGCATGAGCTGCTCCTGAGCATTACCAGGGCCACCGCACGCCCTCTCCCGGCAGGAGACAGAGATTGGCTCTGAAAAAAGGGTCCTTTTCCCCTAACACAACATTTACAGGGTTTAAAAAAACAGCAAATAATCTCCTCGAAGATCAGACAAAAATCTGAAAGCCTTAATTCCACAAGAAAGAAACTACCACTTTACACAGCACAGAAATTTCATCCCAGTTAGATAATATATTATTAATTATGGTATAATTCTGGATTATTTTATAATAATATAATAATTATACAATAACTATGAATCGTGTATTAACTGTACATGAATCCAGTGGCAGCTGTTTTCATAGCAGAAGGGCAGGCTTCACTGAGGACAAGCAGTAAACATGGGCATGCCCCTCTAAGAGGACACAACCCCAAAAGCATCATTTCTTAAACCAAGAGGTTTGGAAAGCTTGAAGTATACAATTCCTCCTTAAAAATTAGCTTCCCCCCTGGTATAATCAACAGTTCATCCAAGGTGTCAATCAACCCCCTTACTGACATGGAAGGAAGAAAGCATTTATTTGTGTTTTGCTGTTCTCAAAGTACTCTTTCTGTTGAGTGACTGCACTATTTAAGCAGTGATAACTTGGTGGGACACTTAAAATTACCTACCTTGTGTTTAACTGCTGGCAAGGCATCCACCAGTATCTGCAGCCCCTCGTGGTGTGATCCCAGCTGCAGGAGACAGGTGGGAGTCAGGGAATCATTCAGCTGGCATTCTACATGTCTACCTTAATCAATGTATGTTGAAAACAACAATCTAGAGGTATTTTGCCTTAAACCAGTTTTATATTAAAAAGAGGCATCACTACAGCTTATTTCCCAAAGTGCAATTACCTTCAAAAACACTCCAATAACAGCCAGGCCGTTGCCTTCCATGACAGCTTCTTCAAAAGTTGGGTACACAACAGCATTCCAGTGAACTAAATGCAACTGAAATAGAAATAAGAAGAAATCAACACAAGCACAGAGCACAGCAATGCTACTAAGAAACTGGACTTTTGATCTTGGCTACATTTTGTCCTTGGCAAATTGAGAAACTGCAGTGACCCACCTCAGAAATCACACACCCCAAAAAAGAGGACCAAAATGTTATTGGAAAATAATGGTGCTTCCCCCATTTTCTTTATTTTTGCCTTGTTTTAAAATAATAGCCAAAGAATCATTAACTGCATTTCACACGTATGAAAGGGATTTTTTTCTGCTGGAGACATTATAGGAATGGTGTTAAAATGTACCAGAACAGCTCAGCATGCCTGGAACTGAAGGACTCTTCCACCTCATCAGAAGAAAAACAAGAGGATGCTGTTCTGCCATGGAACAGACTCCTGCACATACCATAAGCTTCCTCTGCATTGCTCACAGTTCAGCACAAGTGCTTCACAGTGGGGTTTTGTGCATTAAACAGATCACCAGCCCCAAAACTCAGTCATACAGTCTTGCAGTTAATACCTTGCCAAGCTGACAAGCATCACTATGGGCACATTAAGAAGAGATAAACATCTTCTCAAAATTGAACAAGCACTGTTTTTCAAATTCCCCATCTCTGGCATGTAACTGTGTTTGTACCTGTCCTATTTTCCTCTCTGAGCAACTTAATCAGTATTTTTCCCCTTGGCTTCATCCTTGTTATTGACTCTTTCTGCCTCATTAGTTACTTAATCACAAAAGTCTTGCTATTTTAATAGCAGCTTATAACTTGAAAACAAAATATGAAGTGACCATAACTCCTGTATTACCACAGAACTCTGCTGTACATTGTTCTAACGACTGTAAGAAACAATGAGCTGATCAATCACCAGAAAAAACTTCTTAACATCAGCCAAAGCTCTGGGGTCACAGACACAAGTCAGCTACTGTATACAAGGTAAGCAGGACCAGGCTTCTTGAGTTACAAGTATGTGTGTGAGAATTAAATAACCTTCTGTTTGCTCTTCAAATATTTTTTAAAGAGTGCTTAGTATGTGCTTTGTTCCTCTGCAAGCATTTAGTAATAATAAACAAAGTGATTTTAAAGCAGCAAGGATTGGGAGATTTGGAGGTCCACTGGAGACAGCAGCTGGGAAGCAGAGCATTCACTGTACTCCCAAGAACACAGATCCTACACCTCATATGAACCCTTCACTTACTGCAGATCACAGGTAGTGCACTTCAATTTTTTTAATTGAGATCTGAGCTTCCCTTTTACCTTAGTACTTGCTGTCCACCTGATTTGCACCACATCAGCTGCTACCTGGGAGTTCACTAAGACTTGATCATGCTCTCAGTCTGCTTTCTGTCCTCTCCTTTTCCCCTTTAAAAGGGGGAAGGACAAGTAAAGTTGTGTCACTACCTCCAGACAGAGCTGGAAAAGCAGTGGTACTTTGCTGCCTGCCAGTGCCTTGTCCAGCACCCACCCCTGGGGAGATTCAGGGAGCAGAAAACATTTCTGAACCCTTCAGTAATGGGGCCAAGTGCAATTTTAAGATTGTTGTTCTCCAGAAAACACAGTGAATATGATTTTACTAATACAATGGTACATGAGCTATAGCACCTAGCAGGTCTGATCTCTGACAGAATCTGCAATTAAACAAAGTGCAGTTCTTCAAACTGGGGGTTTCCTAGCATGCAGGGAAGTCCCAGGCAGTGAGACCCAGCCTCTGGCCCCTGTATTTGTATTGTTCAGCATTTAATCTCATACCTCTGCTGGGTAAAATTTACTGTCAACTGTGTGCTCTGAGCCCCACTCATTTATAGCTCCCCAATGGAAGTGGAACTGCTTTAGCCTGTAGTGGTTTTCCAAGGGACCTCCAACAATTACTAAAAAACAAAAAAAAAGACACACATTAAAAAACATTCTTTCAATTGTCCAGACAAGTAACACAGTAAGATTCTGCTTGAAATAAGTCTGCCCAGGGAAGAAATCAACCATCTTAGCTGAAAAAGTTCCTATTGCTTGGCTAATTTTACCATTTACTTGGTTGTGACAAAATGATTCAAGCAAACACATCACACTTTTTCCCTGCAGCCTGAACCAACTATGTCCAACTGAAGGTGATTCAGTTAAAATAGACTCCTCATCCATCTCCCCTCAAGGGAGTGATGGTTTCTTTCCCATTCACATCAAGTTTGGCAGTCATGGTGATTACATGTTATGTTCTGTACTCTTCTCTTTGAGCAGGCATATGAGAACTGCCTTGCCAGAATAAATACATGACAAATCAACAGATTTATTTCTTAAAGGACATCCCAATGAAGCCTCAATATCTATGAAAAATACTGAAATTTCCCATGACAACACAAGGCTTTGAAAACCCAATTTCAGCAGAAAAATCAGCACCTTGTGCCAAATGTTCAATTCTGCTTTTTTGTCAAGTTACAAAAGTCCAAACATTCTGCTTCAGTGCAGCTTTCAGACTGCAGAACCTATTGTGAAAGATTTCCTGCATGGCCAGAAACAGGCTCCTATTGTGCCTGCTGTTCAAAACTGTTCAAGCTACATTCCACAAAGCATCTAAACATACAACCTGCAAGATTCTGAGTTTCTGGAAGCTTTAATGCACTTTTCTAGCCATGAGTAAGGGTAAATATTCAGTCTGATTTCAGAAGACATGATTTTGGAACTACATTAATTAAACTAGATTTGAAACTACACCATTTTGGAGCTACCAACTAGTCTATGCCTAGTTTTCTGTGTAGCCTGGGTTCTTACTAATTTCCTCCTAACTGAACCAGAACAACCTGCAACAGTATCTTGCTGGTTAACACATCATAACATCAGGTAGATGCAAGACTGTAATTACTTCCAAAACAAAGCTAGCAACAAACATGTAGCTGTAGAGACCTATTTTCTGATTTTTTCCTGAACTGTCCATTATGGTTAAATTTTGTAGCAAACCACTGTACAAAGTACATAATCCAAACACTACTTTTGAAAGGGAGTTAATCACTTTAATGCTAAGGAGAAAACAATGAGAGGCATTAAGAGCTTTTCTTGTCTTTTTTTTTTTTTTTTATTTCCCTGAATGCCAGCCAGCAGTTTTGAAATTCTCCCTAGACAGACCTGCTTGTGATAAAAGAGTAAGCTAAAACAAGCTATGCAAATTGGCAATTTATTTCATCCCCTGCTGCTGAGCTCTTGGCATAAATGCAATACTGACCATCACTAAAACAATGATGATGGAGAATAGTAACTCTCAGGGATGGAACAGAGATACAGCCCACACTGCCAAGTCTTTCAGAATTGAAGTTTCTGTGCACCAACACTACCCAGTCCTGATTGCCTGATGATGCAAACCCACAAACAGCTACATTCATGCTAATAGTCACACTCATTTGAACATTCACTTCACAGGTAAAGGCAGGCAGTGGCACACACAGGTAGAAGATCAAATTCCTAAAGTAGCCTGTAGGAAAGGAATATGAACTTATAGTCCCTGGCAACCATTTTTGCCATTTCACATCCTCTCAATTTACCAATCTTGATAATTTTGAAACAAATAGAAGTTCAAAGGAACTCTAACAACAACCAGAGGGAAGAATCACATCAGCTTCTTATTGCAGCTCTGTGTTTCAGTCTCATTTCCTTATAGCAGGTGCCATTCACACAGCCAGAACCACATTCTGTACCTACCTTCCCACACCCTTTCCTCTTCATCCTCCTGCTCTGCTCATTAGCAAACACCCCACGGAAGCACTACCTTCATCTTTTGCCCAGGTCTTGTTTTGCCTCAGCTCAGGATTTAGGCATTTTTTTGTCTATCCTGGATGCATGTTTTGTCTTTTTCTTCTTCTGTTTCAATTTTGTTGGTTTGGGTTTGGTTTGTTTTGTTTATTCGTTAGCTTCCTTCTCTGGATTTCTATTGTTATTAGAGAGAAGCTGGCAGGAAGAAAAATGAGAAATAGCAACAGTAAAGACAGAAAGGTGAAGGAGAGAGGCAGACACCTGAAAGCCTGGCCATTTATACAGCAACATCCCCTGACCTGTTGTTCCTCTGCCACTTGGAGTCCTGTCACTGATCATTTAATGCCACCCCCCACTAGCATTAAAAATTAGTTTAATTCATTTGAGGAAGATGATGAAGAAGAGGCAGCCATCCAGGAAGAGGCAGCAAGAATGCTCACACTTAAAGACTGACCTCAAGTGTTCAGTCTTGCAGATGAAGATGATTAGGATCTTTCAAAGCTGTGATGTGCTCTGCACAGGCAGCCTCTGAAAGGCCAACACCCTTCTCACTGAGAGTCTTGATGATTCCAAGCTTGCAGCTATGTCACAAAAACTGTCCTTGTGTATTTAAGTGTTGTGTATTTCTTAATCTCCTGCAGGCAATTCCCCCTCATTACATCAAACTGCCTTTGCTATCCAGCTGCAACCCATTACACTTCTCAGGAAGGCACTCTCAACAGATAGGGGGGTGTGGCTGTATAAAGTAAAGGACTTAAATTAAAAGCAAAACTAATCAACGTTAGTAAGTTAAAAATCACTGAAGAGCTAATAAATGGTATCTCCATCTTAGTCTCTAACCCCACCTCACTAACACAACAGCAGTTTGTACTGTAAAAACAGAGAGGTACCACTTCTTAGTTTCTTTATTATTTATCATAGTTCTGAGATGAACAAGGGCAAGAATATTCCCTGGTTGGAAACTAGGATTCTGGATGAACACCTCTAAACAATAAAATCAACAAAAAAACCCCAAATGTCACACAAGCTCCTGAAAGCTCCAGGAATTCCTCCACCACCACCATTTTTGCTTCATTGTTTCATTAGCTGCTTTCCAAACATCAACCAAAACTGCAAAACATGAGTTTGACAGCATGCTGCCAGCTTCCTGACCAAGAGCATTACTCAATCCCATATGAAGATCCAGCACTTCTCACAGCAAACAGTCATCCTAACACATTCATTAATCAAACAGGTTCAAACTTGCCCAGGGTCCCTCAAGTTTTCCCTCCAGGACAAAGTGAGTACTTAACATGAATCATGTCCTTCACAACAGCCCTGACCAGCTGCTACCACCTCATCTACCTTTATGAAATAACTCTTCATTTATACCACTGATATCCTTTGGTAAACTCAACTTTTAAGAAGAACAATGGGCAGGAAATCTGGAATTTGGTAGCAGGATCTTATGTTATTTGACCCTTCTGAGCTTTTTTTTTTTTTTTTTAATTATCTGCTCAGATCATAGAATCCTAGAATCCTAGGGGTTGGAAGTGACCTCAAAAGATCATCTAGTCCAACCCCCCTGCCAGAGCAGGGTCACCTAGAGTACATCACACAGGAACGTGTCCAGGTGGGTTTTGAATGTCTCCAGTGAAGGAGACTCCACAACCTCCCTGGGCAGCCTGTCCCAGGGCTCTGTCACTCTTACAGTCAGCATGCTTATTCACAACAAATTCTTGGAATGCATAATTGGATCTCACCTGTATGGACTCCTGCTTATACTAAAAACAACAGGAACACATGCACCTGCTCCCTGTGGCAGCAGCTCAGTATTATTTGATTCTCCAAAAGCTCATTGAGATAAGTATGTGTGCTTTGCAACTAAGAGTAATTTTGCTGCTGATTATCTCAAATGCATTAAAGGTATTAACACTGCAAGTGGCTGATTACTTTAATAAAGTGTAATGATGGATTCTCATTTAAAACTAAGTACATAGCTATACATAAGGCTGAAGACTGACTTGTGTAGCTGTGATATTACCAAGACCTAATCAAAAGGCAGGGCATTAAAACCTGTGCAGTAAGAATAAGTTTCAACCTACAACAGAGGATTTGTGCACAATGTCCATGGTAATAAACACGTGGTAAAAGTGAGGCAGACATAGAACTTCTGCATAACAATTCCCAGCACTGTAAATCCCTGTTTAGCTAAAATGTCCTTCTACTGCACATTCAATTTTGGTCCTGAGATTTTACATCATGCAAATATTTCTTCTCTCTTAGCACCAATAAGGTATCAAATAGATTTTTTGTGAGTTTTGCTTACTTGATCTATCAGAAGAATCATCAAACTCAACCAGGAATGAATATCCATTGTTCCAGATGTGAAGACACGTTTTTGGGTCGTAGCTGATTTTCAGAGGCTTCAGAAATGGGTCATAAACACTGTCTCTCCACTGGATGTTGATAGGAGACTGGCGGGTGCCCCCGGGAACTGTAAGCGGGCTCTGCCAAAGTGGATGCACTGGAAGATGAAAAATCAGGCTCTAATGCACAACACAGAACTTCCAACTAAATACTTCATTACTTTTTGGCAAGAGAAGATGCTTTGGCATGTTGGCTCCAAACACTAATTCAAGTCAGCTGGTGAAGAGGAAAGTAGAAGAAAAAAAATAATAATACATTCCAGTTGTGTGAGTCAAAGTGCAGTAACTGGACTTGTAACAGTGGTGATACCTTCCTGCATCTGCAAAATGTTCTTCAAAGAAATTCTGTCCCTTGGTTTGTCAGAAAACTGCTCTCACCAATGGATTTTAAGGTGGCTTCTGTTTCACAGCTCTGCCAGGGTCTCTGCACAGCACTGCAGCCCTCCTGACACACCTGGGCCACCAGCTCACACCGGATTACACCGGACACACTGCAACTCCCACTACAAACCAAAAATACCCTCTTGCAGGTGCCTGCCTTTTGCCCACACACGCTTAGGGGTTACAACACTTGGGGTGTAGCCCTCCTGGGGCACCCAGCCCAGGATTGGCCAAGACTCCTTCATGCAGCTGGGTCAACACGTTATCCCCACACCTGTAAAACCCTCAACTACCAGTTTTGGGGGCATCTGCGACTGGGAGGAGCAGGGCAAATCCAGGAATGGTTTCTGTGAGATTTTATGCTGCATCCAAGTGGAACCGGGGCCCGTGAGGACCCGGGGGATGCTCCTTCTCTTGCTGCTGCTTCACCTGCTGCTGCTTCTCCTGCTGCTCCTTCACCTGCTGCTCCTTCACCCGCCGCCCCCGGCAACAAGAAGCCCCAGGCGGAGATTCTCTGTGCCTCGCCCATCCCCTGAACCCAAGCGCTGCGCTTCTGGCTACACTGGGCACTTGAGGGCTTTCACTGGGAGGGGGAAAAACCAAACACAGGTTTTCAGAAGCCCCTCGCACCAGAGGCAGCTGCACATCCCCCCCCTCCCAGCCCCGCACCGC